CCGCTTGGATTCCAGATTGATTATGTTAAAAGCCTGCACAAGTGTCAGATCCAGCGCCTGTGGATTTTTCACCAATGATTCAAGTTTAAGGTTCTGCTATGATTTCGGACAAACTATAGACAGCGCCTTTCAAAAGTCTTTTGCCGGAAAAATGACACGGTTTTCATATAAGTCCCCTGTTCGAAGGTTTTTATTTGAAAGTATGATTGCTACATTGTCTGCCATGCATTTAAGATCATTTAAAAGCCTATCAACCATTGAATGAATGATGCGTTCAAGCGCTTAGAAGTAATATCCACTGTTTGTATTTATATGAATTTCCCGAATCTTTGAATTTTGCAGTGTGATTTTTACTGACACCTTTTAATACTCCCATGCCTAGATTATAGGTTATCTTTCGGAAGTTTTTTAGGGAAATTTGCAAAAATGGAATTTATTTTACCCTCAATCACTTTTAATCTAAGTAGTTTATGGCGGGTTTTCATCCTTTGATATTGCATTGGAGGACAAAGAACGACCGTCTGAGCTTTATTTAGAATGAACTGTCGTTAATTTTCTGTATGCCAAGAGGTTGTGTTTGATTTTACCTTGCTGTCAGAGGGGTCAATATAGGTTCTGAGGTATCAACCGTTTTATCCTCGTTTTAGATGTTTCCCTAAGCTATTAATTACTGTGCAATTCCAAACGGACTGTCGGCCGCACTTATAAGTCCTATTATCACAGAAGAGTGTGTAACGGGTTGTGCCTAGTCAATAAAATAATAAAGAGATACTTTCGTACTAATATTTTGCCACTTTTAGCATTCGTTTTTTTGGACCAATGCATCTGATACGATGATAAGAGCGCTGGTGTAGGCTACCTTTGAAGATGGCGGCTTCGTTTTTTTCGCAAAGCCCCTAAATCGGGTCACTTGAGGGTATAAGTGAATCTAGCTTTAATTGCCTGCGAAAACTGCTCATTAATCAGGAACCTGTGGGATGCAAAGTAACTTTTTAGTATGTTCTATTGTTCTAGAGCCGACGTTTGCCGGTTCAAAGGAAATGATGCCTGCCTACCTCTGAAGACAGAAGCCGCTTCCTTGACCCATGCTAAGGCCGGTATAAGTCTGTTTTCAACGATTCCTCGTCGATTTCGTTTTTACCGGTGCGCGAAAATTTATTTCACCAGCTAACACCGATATTCGATTACCAATGGGCTGTATTGTTGCTAACAATGGCCAAAATTACATGAAAAACTGGAATTGAAGTGGGGACACAAGAAGTATGGAAATGAGGATCGGAATGGGAGTTAGATTTGAAGGTCTGGCCGTCGAAGGAGCTGTCGCTTTAAGTGGTTGTCATGGTTGCCGCTACTTCAAGGCAGAAATCGACCCAAAAACCATTTTCTGCCTTATATACAGAGATAACGGACAGACGCCTAAGATGACTGACAATAAGCGAAAGAAAAAAGGGATGGGTGAACTCCTAGTCATCATTCAGTCAGTCTGTCCGGGCCTTGTCATCCATCAGGGAAGAAGTTTAAATGACTATGAGTACAACAATGAAGACGGTCTTCCATGATGAGGGGCATAAAGAGTTCGCGGACCAGGACCAAGGGATAAGCGACGGTTATATACTCACGAAAATAAGTGAAGGATCATCTGCTTGAACGCAAATTTGTATATAAAATGTTAAGAAGGACAAATACTAGGTGTGTCCAAATAGGAGTAGTAGGGAGAACTCTGTTTCAAATTTACGAAGCATCCTGATCACAATTAAAGACGGATGAAGATGTTAAAAACTTACTATAATCAGATTTTAAATGCACAATAATTGACAAATTCATCGACATTTTGAATAAGACTGGCAGACCGTTTCAGAAGAAGAAGTTCATAGGATCACAGGATGGAGAACGCGTGGTGGTAAGGAGTTGGTTTTACAGTCAAAGAGGAGCGATGAGTACTCGTACTCGGTGTAAGTGGTTTTTTAACATTTTAAAGTTAACCATGCACTTAGTATACGCACACTCAAATGACCCTCCACCGCAGGAATTAGAAGCGCAAAGAGACCTGGAGGTATGAATTGCAGCTTCTCTAAATTCATCGTTACACTCCGCAAAGGTCACAAGTTCCGCAATGTCAGCGATATTTCTCACCGCATGTACCTTCACAAGCTTTGACAATGGTTGCTTTGTCAAGAAGAATCGAAAATTTGTGTGTCCAAAACTGTACTGAGCTGTCCGACCGTGGAACTCATAGGCGGCTGGGGAAGACAACACTGCTCTCGAGAAGGCCCAACTGACTGCCACGAAGCTGGTTCGAGGAGTTTGCATATGATGAATGATTTTTAATGTTGATTATTTTCCCTTAACTGTAAGCAAATAAGGGGTGACCTCATAGTGACGTTCCGCATCGTCCGGAGCCTGGATTACTGCTTTGCTTTTGAGTCCTTCTTTGAGATGTCCACCACAACCAACCTTCGCGAGCATCCCTCTAATCTGCTCGTAGGTGTATCGCGGTTAAATGTGCGGAAGTTCTACTTCAAAGTGCAGAGTCGTTTGGACGTGGAGCATTCTACCGAAGGACATTGCGCTATCAACAGGTATCGCAGTATTCATGAAGAACCTTGGTCGCCGTACGGTCACAAAAAAACACCATTTTGCACCACCTACACGTGTAGCTATGATGCAATCATCATGCTACTAAAAACCCGCCAGTAGCAATTATTGTTAGGACTGAAGTGTGCCAGACACGTACACTATCGTGTTTCCGGTCCTTTTATCCTGATGGTTGTCGAATTTTATTTGTAATCTGAGCAGACGAATAATTCAGAGACTTACGCCTATATGCAGAATAAGGCGTGCGCAGCCACAACAAACAGTATGCATTAGCTGCCAGTCAAAGCGATACGCCAGCCAGCCAAAGCCGGGCACTAGTGGTGAGCTCGAAGGAACTCATGTCACTATCAGCGGTCGAAAATCGGCACGTGAACCGGCTGACTTTTATGCTGCCAATGCAGCTTTCGCCCGGCCTGTCACTACGTGGCTGCGCGCAGCAGACAGAAGGCTGCGCCGAGAATAGGACCTACAAACTTTCTTCTTTATTTCCTTACCTTCCATCCCCCCGAATTCCCTCCCCCCATGGAGGGCATATTAATATTTGGTATACTAAGCGCCGGTCTGATGTCACCGTCCGAATAAATCTAGAACATGGATTTAGCAAACGTCGAAAAGACTTCTGTCATATAACTGAGGGTCCAGGTGGAGTTTGGGTGAAAAGGAGTAGCAAGACGTTGTGCCTTTCCCTCCTCTTCATGGGATGGTGGATGTAAATCAAAGAAGGGATAAGGAAATGGACCGTTGTTGGCCGCAGGTTACGGAAGTCACCGTCAGTTTGGCAGACTGCAAAATTAGCAGACTTACCTTCAGGATGAAATCAGGAAGAAAATCTGAAGAGCACTGCGACAGATGAATTCGGATGAATGTTGGAAACAATCGCTGTTTTTTCAGAGAACGGTATTTTTTAGAATAACTGCGTTCCAGGGTAACTTATGCCGGACAGGAACTGTGTTAACAGGAAAAAATAACGATATTCAGCCATGCGTACCAGAAGAGAAGATAAAAACGCCTCGTGGTGATTACTTTGTCAGGATGCTTTGAAGTGGGCGGTAGATTAAAATTGTACAAGTTGACAGCTCAATCAGCACAAATAATGCGTTTTGCAACCGGCCAAACCATAAAGAATCAAGACCTGTAATTCCACAGATGCCATGTCGATGTTACCGTACCTTCAGTAAAAAGACTCTGAACGGATTTCACCTTCTTCTGCTCACCAGCGTGCAGGGGATTGAATAAACAAGCGCATTATTCTTGTCCAGATCTCGCGTGAATCTTACGTAAACAAGTTTTAATTTCACCTTTTTTAACATTTTGGTGGATAAGGCCGGTAATATATAACTGTATGTTGACCCCTTGAGAAGAACGTCCAGGTTATTCAGTTTCGGCAGCAAACGGTAAGACTACTGACAAAGACAAGGGAGACTGGAATGGCCGTTTCCGGCTTATTAGCCGTCGTCAGCCAGTCACATCCAACTCCGAGGTGTGGAACACCCGAGGCTCGAACTCGCGACCTTTAGTTAGAAATCCACGCCTCTAACGACTGGTCCACGAGCCCGTTGCCCTGTCGGCTTTCGATTGGGAATATACAATGGTAGGGGACGCTCACCGATCGTTCATACGGAACTCACTCTTTCCTTTGTGCCTTACAGGCTCTCCCTCGAGCCCAACCAGCTGCCGCACTTTTAACTAACAGGTCGGAAGTTCGAGCCTCGGGTGTTCGCCACCTCGGGGTAGGGTATGACTGACTGACGACGGCTAATAAGCCAGAAATGGCCATTCCAGTCTGCCTTGTCTTTGTCGGTAATGCCATTCTGCCTAGATCATGCGCCGCTGTGCGGCAGCTGGTTGGGCTCGAGGGAGAGCCCGTAAGGCACAACGTAACGAGTGAATTCCGTATGAAAGATCGATGAGCGCCCCTACCACGGTAAGACTACTGTTGACGACTAACACTGCACATGTACAGGTGCGCTATCCGCAGACACTGAGAGGTTAAATGGTTGATCATCTAGAAGAACAGGTGATGCGGACGTTGTTTTTCAATAGCCTCTTCTAGCAATTTAACCTGGCCAAATGATATTACCGGAGGAATTCCAGACTCACTGGATGTATTGCGTGCTGTAAGGTAAATCTACGCTTGTGTTAATTATTCTCCTTCAATGTAGGAGTGTTCCGAAAGTGGAGTGTTCACCACACCTCCACCCTTTCGGAATTAAAATAACAGGTGGGGGTGTCCTGAAGGTGACGGTGCATACTGAACCTCCGCAGGACAATAAAAATTTGCTTCGTCCTCCTCCACAACTCCGGGCAGCCAATGCATATAGAAACCCTATTTACGTATAGGTCTCTTAAGCCCGCTGGGGATCGAAATCGCCCATCGACCGGAGTCAACAATTCGACATCTGGTCATGAGACCTAAGGCCCCTCTGCCACTAGGCGAAACCACGAACGCCATCTACCGTACTCAGTGTAACTCCTGCGAAGTCAACTACATTGGGGAGACCGGCAAACGACTGCAGACCCCTGTTGGAGAACACATGAGGGCAGTAAGGCGAATGGACCCTTTGTCTCTGGTGGCAGGACACTGCGCCGATTCTGGTCACACGTTCGCCTTTCAGCATGTCGAAACTCTGGGCCGAGGGAGCGACCGCATAGTCAGGGAAACAATCGAGGTTTGGCACACGGAGACAACCTCCATCAACCGTTGTGTGGCTCTTCCCGCTGCCTACCAAGCCCTTCGGGTGCAGCCCGGTGAACAAATGAGCAACCGCGAACCCAGGCTAAACACGAATCTAAACATGAGCGAGTCCATGGCGGATACACACTCAGTCGCCTCTCAACCTGGGTCCGACGTAGGCGCAGTCGTCACCACAGCCGTTCCATCCACTAGTCCGGACGATGAGAAAACGGAGTCGTTGCGGCGTTACCAAGATAGCCAGACTTGGACGACAGCTAAAGTGAATGAAGGTACGAACGGCGGCCGCCAAAGTCTCAACGCCGGTCCCCGATGTAGACAGAGTACATTCCGTCACCCTCCCTCCCTCCCTGTCCGCCACAGTCCCTGTGTGCATGTGGCTGGTGACCATTAAAGCTGTTACACCACCCCTTCATCCGGCGAAAAGACGCTCTAAAACTCCCTCCCCGTCCCTTCCTCCCTGCCGCCCTGACTTCATATGTAAAAAAACGTCTTGACATGACTGCCACCCACCTATAAATACTGTGAGGAGCGATACCACACCCACTTCCGACGATGGAAAATTTTTTGCTTTTGAAACGTCAGGACAATAAAAGTATGGTTCCCGAGATGGCCTTTTCTTCTCGCATATGTATATGAGATGATACCGACAAAGACAAGGGAGATCGGAATGGCCATTTCTGGCTTATTAGCCGTCATCAGCCAGTCATACACAACCCCAAGTGTGGATCACTTGAGATTCGAACCCGGGATCTTTGGTCATGGAGGTTGACGATCTACCATTGAGCCACGGGCTGTGCGACTGCCTGCGAGGGTTCTTGTATGAGCCCCAAGACACACCGGAACGAGCACGTTCCGTAACCCGATCGGCGAACGCCCACTGTCATAATTGATATTCCCAATCACAACCGACAGGACAACGGACCCGTGGTTCAATGGTAGAGCGTCAAACTCCATGACCAAAGATTCCGGGTTCGAATCTCAAGTGATCCACACTTGGGGTTGGGTATGACTGGCTGATGACGGCTAATAAGCCAGAAATGGCCATTCCGGTCTCCCTTGTCTTTGTCGGTATCATCTCCTCTATGTC